GATAATATTGATATTAATAATTATAGATTAAATAAATTATAAATTATAGAATTAATGATATTAGTATTAATAATAGTACTAATAATTTCTTTGCATGTTACCTATCTGGGTAACTCATGCGAGTTTAAAAGCTGACTTAATGAACAGCATCGTTCTGATTTAAGGGCAGTGGATCAAAAGGACAATTCTTATTAACACAACATGACACTTTTTCTAAGGAGGCTGTAATTACGGTGCTGTTCATTCCAAGAACCCTGTCAAGCTGCTCAGCGCTGAGTGGCATGAGTTCCCTTGCCCTTGACGTGGCAGTGATTGCCGTGCAGTTGTGTTGACGAAGAAAACGTTGGTTTATTACAGAATTTGACTATATAATTACACTTGAAGAGAAGTGCTCTTTGGTTTTAAATCTTGTAGGGCTGAGAACACTTGAAATTATTCTAATTCGTTATACTGTAGTTAGGTTTTGCATTCAAATGTCTTACGGGTTTCTGTCCTTTGCACCTTGAGCCTCGCAGGCTGGAAGGTTGGAAACTCAACTTTCTTTGTTTTTCTGTCTTCTTTAAGAAAGTCCGTTAGGATTAATTTTTAATTTAGGCGTTTATAAAAGAAGGAAATAAGAATTAAATTGGTTTCTTATTTTGGTGCTGCATAGTTCAAGAATGAATAATTAAATGAGTAATTTGACGAAATGCTCAGTCTCTGCCATAAAATTTCAAGACGCACTCCAAAAAATTAAGTGTTGAGCAGGCATCTGGGGACAAATACAATCCAGTGTGACGGGGAGGTGCCGGTTCTTTTCACCTGGGGATAATTTCGAGGCAGTTGTGAAACAGCAAAAATTTGCTTACCCAAGAGGAATCAATCATTCTGGGTTTTTTTTTTTTTGGCATTAACAACAGTGATTTCTGACTTCAAACTTTTATTTCTTTTTAACTGGATTTTTAACTTGTTTATATTATTATTTAAATTATTTAAATTACTGTCAACAGTTTGTAATTCCAGACCTTTACATCTGAAATGCAGTCTCTTAATAAGGGATTTCAGAGCAGTGTAAGCACTTCCACCTGGAGTGCTTTTTCAGGTTGTTTCATCTTCTGTAGGAATGGAAAAATAGGAGCCTGAGTTTAATAACACCTTAAAATTTAAATCTGAATTGCTGTTGGTCCTGTCTTTTTGTTTCCCAAGAAGTTTATTCTTTGCTGTTACGTTTTCTACCCACAGCAATGAGCAATGATGATGATCTCTGCAGCACTCTCCATCTGGAGGGTTTAGTTTAAGCAGTATTAGTTTTTCTCACTGAGTTTTGTCTAAAATGTGCTGAGTTCATTAAAAATGGAATATATGAGGAAAATGTTGCATGATGGACCGAGCTGGTTTTATTAAAAAGTCAATGCACAAGCTCCTTTTCCTCTCCTAAAATGCCACCATTATCAGGATTGCTGCATTAATGCTTCAACTGGTATCTGCTCTGCCTTTAAAGTTCTCCCCTTTGAGCACAGGCTTCTGTTTCACCTTTCCTAGTTCCCTTTTCATATATTCCTATTATTTAATTTTCCTCAATTTCCAGTATTCTTTCCATTCCTACCTCTCCGTGCCCACTGGAATTTTCATTTGAGAAGTCAGATAACCAGACCCATCATCTTGGTGTGCAGGGCTGAGTTTTTTTACCCTTCTTCTGTCTACCTGCGTGTCAGACGCTGTATTTTCCTCTAAAGCAGGTTTGCTCATTAGAACGTGGTCACACATCACATTTTTTGCCCTTTCTCTCGTAGCTGGCCTGTGGACGGTCTTCACGCTCGGTGGAGTGGGGAGCAAACCAACGCCGCAGCTGGAGCAGTGCTCCCCGCTCGCCAACCAGAGTCTGCTGCTTCTCCTGGTGCTGGCCAACCTCACCGATGCTCCGGATACGCCCAATCCCTACAGACAAGCCATCATGTCCTTCAAGAACACGCAAGGTTTGTATCCCTCCTTGATTTTCTTTCCAACACTTGTTTTCCCTCCAGCCGACCTGTGAAAGAGCAATAATAATGTGTTTTCTTCTGGGAGTTTTGAGGTGGAGCTCCTCGGCTGCTGGAACGTAATGGAGAGTGCAGAGGAACAGGGGTACTTTACGCTTCAGAAATTTTAGAAAGCTTCATAATTTCATAAAATAGAAATAAAACTGACCTATAAGGAGGTCACTTAGAGAATCAGAGAATGGTTTGGGTTGGTAGGGATCTCAAACCCTACCAGTCCAACCCCCATGGGCAGGGACACCTCCACCAGCCCAACCTCCCACCAGCCCGGGCTGCTCCAAGCCCCGTCCGACCTGGCCTTGGGCACTGCCAGGGAGGGGGCACCCACAGCTTCTCTGGGCAACCTGGGCCAGGGCCTCACCACCCTCATAGGGAAGGATTTCTTCCTAATATCCACTCTAAATTTCCCCTCTTCCAGTTTGAAGTCATCACCCCTTGTGCTATCACTCCATGCCCTTGTACAAAGTCCCTCCCCATCTTTCCTGTAGCCCCTTCAGGTCCTGGAAGGTCCCTGTAAGGTTCCCCCAGAGCCTTCTCTTCTCCAGGCTGAACAGTCCCAACTCTCTCTCAGTCAGTCCTCATAAGGGAGGTGCTCCAACCCCTCAGCATCTTATCCAGAAGTCTGCAGGAGTCCCCTAAGACGTCATATAGCACTTGGGGAAGTTCTCTTTAGCCGGAGCTCTGTGCCTTATTGCTGAGAGAAGCAGTTGAATTGCTACCGAGGTTGATTTGGTAACTCTATTCTTGTGTTGGAAATGCAAGGATAAACTGTTAGCGTAAACACTTCCATGAAAAAAAGGTAAAATCACTAAATAGAAAATTAGTTCTGTTTAGCTCAAACCAGGACAGACTTGTGTATGTGGAAAGTTTCCAACTCGTTTCAGTGCTTGCCTGGTTTCAGAGAGGGCTGGTTCCAGTCCATGTTTTGGGTAACTGCAGGTGTGCCCCTTTGATTCACTGGATGCTGTTTACTGGCAGAGATCAAATTCTTAATACAGTTTTGGGGGTTTTTTTTACACTACCAAACTTAACGAATGCTTGATTTTGGTTGACTTTGTTTAATGTCATCAATAACTAGCAATGTGTTTCATTGTAAACTGTTATGCATGTATCATAAAATTTTAAAAGAAGCTATTCTGTGTCAGAAGTGGCATGAAAAGCCCTATTTTCTCTAGATGTCTGCTTTATAAAATGACTTTGTGTTTCCCATAAACTTATTTCCACTGGTGATATTCATATAACTGAGCTTAAATTCGGTTCCTGTGCATGTTCTGAGGGGCTGGTAAGAGGAGAATGGTACGAAATAGAAAGGCTGGTTACACTTATAATGATCCATAGTATGTGACTGGCTCTTTTGTTGAAGCAATTTATATAATTTAATTGGACAGAACTAATCAAATTCAGGATAGTTTTCTTTATCCTACATGGCCTAGAGTAGTTTCATTTTTCTGCTGTTTGGCGTTCTGTGGGATAATACAGGATATACTGCTGTTGCTGATAAGTTAGTTTCTTTAATACTGTTTAGAATGTATTTTTTTTAATTCCTGTGGGTGTAGGAAGTGTTTGTGTGATCGGTCCCCAGCAGTACAGAGGTTTCCCCAAAAGAGAGGAAAGGTTTGGTAAGAAACCACAGGACTACTCATTTATTTAGAGCCACGTTTGTGCTGGCTCACAATTGCTGTGGGCACGCTGTCCTCACCCTTTTCCATGGTGATGCGGTCTATCATACCTGAGAAATTCTTCAGGTTTTGAGGAAAAAGGAGCCTGGCATGCTGGATATCATAGTACAATTGGCTATAAAATGGCTTGGCACATTTTGAAATTTGCTTTTCGCCCCCCCTTTATTCCTCTGAGTCTTTTCTTCCTCTCTTTAAAACCCCTTCTGTCCACAGATCACCGTGCAGGACTAGTAGTGGTATTGTCCGCTATTTTATACAGTAGAGCTTTCCTAAATTACTGTGTTTTTAATAAATTATAAACAGTTCATAAACCTGTGGCTTGTTATTGTGGGAACGAAAGGATTTTAGTTAAATTCTTCCACTTTGGCCATATTTATAGTAATATGGAGATGTTTAAGTCCAGACCTTAGTATACTTTGAACATCCAAACTGAATATCCTCTTGCCCCGAAGTTGCTGTAATTTTTCCATATGCATAGCTTAGAAAATGAAACCTTTGTATTCAGTCACCAGGATGCTGAAATAAATCAGCCCCAAAGAGCAGACTCGTCCTCCTTCATGTGTCCTCCCAGAAGATGCATGTTTTGGTTGGAAGTTTTTGAACAGAGCTGGAGAGGAAAATACACAGATTTTTGTGGAGCTTTTTGAGAGCTGAGAAATGTACCTGCTCTGCACTAGGAGGAAACCTTGCACTCACAAAGGTTTTCGGGGCTTTTCTTGCTTCCTGCTTACTGTGGTGTCTGTATGAAATATTTCCCCCAGATTTTTATGCCGTGAACAAATAGCTGGATGGTAAATGTACTTATTAAAGCCTGTGGTTTTTTATTTCTTTATTTCAGATAGCAGTGCATTTTCATCGTCAAATCCACACGCTTTCCAGATTAATTTTAACAGCCTGTACACGGCTCTGTGTGAGCAGCAGAAGTCGGATCAGGCCACTCTTCTGTTATACATGCTCCTGCATCAGAATGGCAACGTACGGACCTACGTGTTGGCACGAACGGACATCGAAAACCTTGTAAGTATTGCTCTGCCTGCCTGAAACTAGCACAAATATTAGGACAAATGTCTTCACTGCAAAGGTTGTCAAGCACTGGAGGGGGCTGCCCAGGGCAGTGGTGGAGTCACCATCCTTGGAGGGGCTTAAAATGCAGGGAGATGAGGTGCTGAGGGACGTGGTTCAGTGGTGGACAAGTTGTGCTTGGACTCGATGTTCTCAAAGGTCTTTTCCAACCAAATGGTTCTGCAATTGTACTCATCACAAGGTCTTAAAAGCTTGGGTGTTACCAGCTGCCAGCGTCCCCTGTTCTGCCATAGGGGACAGTAGGTGCTGGCTCGCTTATCCACCAGTTCTGACTCACTCATTTTTACTGTGTTCACTTACTCATTTTTACTGTGCTATCTCAGGAACTTGATGCTAAACAGGTTGCTGCAGTAAAAGATAGGACTGATAAGGCTACCAGGCTGTCTTTGACTCCCTTTTTCTCAGTGCCGCTGTGTGATCCAGCTCAAACCTGCTGGCTTCTGGTCATGGTGTCAAGAAGCTGATAGCACATATCCTACAATTCATTATTTTATTTTTCTTTTTTTTTTAGGTGTTCAGGCCAAAAAGTTACACAAGCTTACTGTGGGCATATAAGGCTAATAGTTAACAAAACGAGCTGTAACTTGATTAATAACGCCAAACGTCTGACAGGGTACACCTGAGGCTGAAACTCCTCAAGGAGCAGCTGACAGGTTTTATAGAAATGCAACTGCGGTGACTTTTCAGCTGCTTTAAATAGGATTGTGGTCAGCAGACACCTGGTACGCATTTTGTACATTATAAATTATCTTACGCTCCCCACCATGTTTAGTAGTATCACAGACCACATTTAACAAATCTTACTTATTATAAAAGCATTCCTTTAATCAGATAATGGCTGTCTAGGGGAATCAGTAATGGAATAGAGAAACCCTTTCCATTTTAATATTTGAAACCCTGCCAGATAACGAGATCCCTTGCTGGTTTGATGGCAGATATGGATGGAGTTTGGTCTTGGTCCAAGTTCTAGCAGAGATATTGCTAAAATCAGAGTTGATAGACACCACTGTTGGCAGATTTGGGTGAGATGGTCCGCACTGAATTTATTGAAGACTGAACTCCTGTGCAGTCTGCTGCAGGGCTGAGTCGTTTTGCATGAATTCTGCGTGCAAATGGTCATATTTAATTTTGTGGGCCGTTAATGTGTGATATGACCTATTTCACAGCTGCTAGCCATATTAATTTACTTTAGAGAAATGAAAGTTAGGTGTATGTGTTGTTTTAAAATTACGACGTCTGATATTTTGTAAAACTTGCAGAAAAAGCACGAGGTGCGTTTGTCAAAACAACTCCTGATGCGGGTGCTCAGATGCTCCGCAGTGTGGGATATTGTCATAGATTATCACCTACTCCCCCTCCAAAAAGAGAATAAATCAGAAAATCCCAGAAATAATCAGCAGCATTCAACACTTAGTGGGAAAAGCTGAGAAAATTGAGGAAAGCAGCACTGAAAAGTCAACAGCGTGTTCGAGTTATCTTTTTCTGATACCAAAATTTGAAGCTATCTGCTCTTATTTTACTCTTCATGTGTAATATTGCTTTTTATGATCGCTGCTGACACGTTGCTGATGTCTTTGTCCAGTCCTCCTGTTTTTAGTGCGTTGATAGGTAGGGATAAGCAGCGGCCAAGTGAGGAGAGCGGTTTTAATTGCTTTGTAACCCAGACACAAAAAGGATTTTGGGGTGGGAGGGTTATTGGACAAAGAAACCGCGATCTCCCACTTAAAACCATGCAGTGAAAAAGCCTAATTTACTGCTGGTCTTGTAAAGGAGACAAGGAGCAGGAGTAACAGAGCTGGTTATTTCCATCCCTATATGGTAACACTAACACGCTGCGTGCTGTTCTGGTGGGGTACTGCCATGCTTCCTACAGTATTTACAGGCTGTTGAAAAATAAAGAGTAGAGAAACCTGTTTTTATGCTTTAACAAAGTGGTGAGGGTCTTAGAAAGTGAACTCAGGTCAGAAAAGAGCTCGAGGAGCGTTGGGATGCGGATGTGCCTTCACAAGGGGGAAGCTTGCAAAGAGGTGGGGTAAAAAGTAAAGCCTGGCAGTTGAATCCCACAGCTTAGAAATATGGAAGTGAGTTCAGGTAATAAATTCAGAGGCAAAGAGATGCTCTCGATGGGTATCTTTGAGGATGAATGGCTTTGTGGAGGAATATGGCATCAGCCGGTGACCTTCGGACAAAGGGCTGGGGCTCTGCTATGTGAGAGATCAGATCAGCCGTCCGCTCAGTGCTCATCTTAAAGTTGTAGGGATTTTGCAGGTTGTCCCTGTTTCACTACACTTCCCGGTTTTGGTGCCCGGGCAGCATCACCAACAGGTGTTCTGTGCCATTTCATAGGGGTTTTTGAAATGTGGCATTGCTCTTTTGTAACGTTAGTTTGATTTGGAAATCGGTGCGGTGTGTTTTTGTGAGCTGTTGTAATAGGTAGCGCCTCAGCTTGCTTCTACCTCTGTCAATTATATATAAATACCTTTATTTTCTGTTGTGCTTTATCATACTTCATCATTAGTAAGGCAGTGCATCTTTTTTGCCCTCACAATACCAATCTGCTCGGTAGGATGAGTAGGATGTTTCAGTCTCAAATAACTTACAGCATATCACTTTTTGTAAGTTTATAAAACAACTGGGTTAAACATCTGATGCTGTTTGGGATGTTCACATCTGGAATTCAGCTGTCGCATTGGAAGTACCTGCAAGGATCCTCCAGGAACTGGTGAGACAGATCAATTACCAGACTTTTTCATTAGCGTAGTGTCGTGGTCTGTGGATGGGACAATGTTGAGCCTTTTCTGTTTGAGAAAGCAGTTAATATCCGTGTTACAGGTGAAAATACCATTCGGATACCCACTTGTAAGAAAAAAAGCTGTTTCTCTTGAATGGGTTTGCTGTGGCTGTGAGTTGAGATTTTGTTGCTGCCCAACATGACTGGACTGAAGTGATGTATACGGTGATGTGTTGACTGATGATACCGCAGTATTTTTTCCTGTGGTATAAATTGGACTTAAACAGGTTGCTCCTGTGGCTCTGCAGTCTTGTATTTTGTTGTATACTAAATACAAGTGATTTCAAATCTCTTTGGCAGGGAAACTGTTGCTGACTTTGGACTGGATTTAGCACCTGCAATTTTCAGTCTCTGTTTTTACCCGCCCCTTGTTTTGGGGATTAAGTGTAACTTTTTAATGGGGATGTGGAGAAGTGTTAGTAGTAGTCTGATAATGATAGTTTAATGACTATTAATAAAAGAGCCAGCAATATAAAAAGAAATACACAGGTGTTTAGGAGCTGTCGTAAAAGCTCAGAAGCTGTTCCACTGGTTGCCTTCAGAAAGGCTTTTGTTGTTGTTCACAGCATCCCAGGATGTCAGGAGTTGGAAGGGCCCTGGAAAGCTCCCCCAGTGCAACCCCTGCCAGAGCAGGATCACCAGAGCAGTCCCACAGGAACACGGCCAGGGCTTTGGGGGTCTCCACACAAGGACACTCCACAACCTCTCTGGGCAGCCTGGGCCATGCTCCAGAACCCTCACACTCACAAACTTTGGCCTCATCTTCAGCTTGAACCTCCTGTGCTCCAGCTTGGGACCATTGGCCCTTGCTAAGTTCTCCTTGCCAAGTCAGGTTGTAAATGCAGTTAATTCTTAGGTAGATTTTATGTTGATTCCCGCTGTACACAGCTTATCACAAAGCTTGGACTTGGAAATTACTTTGAGGTTATGTAAAAGCTAACCTAACTTAAACTAAACTAACTAAAAGCTAAATAAAATATAAATATTTGGGATGGAAACGGTTTGAACAGTGGGTTAATGCAGTGGTGGTTGTCTCCCTTTTCCCTCACCCAAGCAAGAGGACTGATTTGATTTGCTCTACCCGAAGTAGAAATTTTAGGGAAAACCTGGTCTTTGCTCTCAAGAACTAAATTCACAACACACGAAGACATCAACTCCAGTTTCAATGGGAGAGAGAGTTTCGCGAAGGATCCTTTGAAATGGAAAAAGAAGGATGTTTTCAATGTCTAAATATTATTTTTTCCCTCTGCTTTTGATGTGGTATTGTCTTGACTGGCCAAAGCATCTGTCAAAAGGTTTTGTGGCCTGCAGCATTGAGGTGAATCTCATTGGTTTTAATAGAAACTGTCGTGTGTTTTTAATACGTTCCAAGTGCTTTGGGCCCGGTTGACTGGAAGGGAACGTTCTGGTAACTTCAGAGGCTTGCGAAGCACTCGGTGTCCTGGCTGCTCACCAGAGTAGGTTTCAGATGATTCATCCTGCTGCAGTTGGCCTGTTTTGAAAAACACCACGTCTTTAGGTGTCCAGAAGCTTCTTGGAACGAACTCGGCATCTCATCGGCTATCTGGGAACCGAGAGTTTTCTCCAGTTGCCTTTTCCAGGATGTTTTGTGATTTAGGCCTGTTTTTGCAGCCCGGGGAAGCCGCGTTGTATAGAGCCAGTGGAAAGCTCATTTTCAGTTGGTAGAGAGACAACATTTGCATCTGGATTAACTTTAGACTAGCATTCAGGTATGCCTGCTGTTACAGTGAAATCTCGTTTTCATTATTAGTGCAAGACTTTGGCTGAAACCTTAAAATTCATCCTGGTGGAAATATTACAAGACCTTGGGCTGAACCCTTCCAATGTCAGTTCTTTTTGGCTGTGAATTATCTAGAATTGGAAAAACAGGACTTTTCTACTCTTAATCCAACTCAAACTGGTTATTTTCTGGCATTATCTCCACACACCAAAATGGGATTTGAGTGTCGGGTCTCCAAATACGCTCCAATACGCCTGTATTTGATGAGGAAAGTCCTTTCAGACCAGGCTTGTGCTAGCAGAAATGGTTTGAAATGGTTGTTTTCCTGCTTGGACTGGTGAAAATCTCATTTAACGATTTTATTTTCCCATGATCTAGAGGGGAACTAAAGCTTCCAGAGCTATGGTAACTGGCGTGGCTGGAAATCTCATTTATTAAGAATTGAAATTCCATGTCTGACCACAGGAAAGAATTGGTTTAGACTCTCTTGAGGAGACAGAATAAAACAGATGGAAGGTGTTTGAGCGCGCGACGTCACTGTTTAGGGGTGGTTATTTCAAGAGGAAGGGATTGCTGTGATTTTGTGAAGGGCAGGGAGGTTTAGGGGCTCCTCTGTTTATTGTCTGAGGTATTTGAAAGACTAAACTTTTTTTTCCCCCTTCTCTAAAGGTTTTGCCAATTCTTGAAATCCTCTATCACGTCGAGGAGAGGAATTCACACCACGTCTACATGGCTCTTATCATTTTGCTGATCCTTACGGAGGACGATGGCTTCAACCGATCCATTCACGAAGTGGTGAGTTACTGTTTTGGTAAAAAAAAAAAAATCCTTCAGCTCTTAAAATCGTTTAAGTATTTATTGTTATAGAGATGCATCTTTGTATCTGTTTCCTCAGCAGAGTCTGTATGTGTTTGTCCAAATTTGATGGCCTATATATATTAACCTTAACCCAAAGTTAAGAGTAATTTCCCGAGTGAACGAATGCGGTCCCTCTTGTAGGGGAGATGCTGCATATTCCTCTTTTTCGGTCTTTTTTTGGGTGTTTCCTGTTGCAAGTAAGGACAGCAGTAGCCAGGCAGGCTGCCTCAAAGATGCTGAGTGCTTGCCATGAAACTGTAGGAACCAGACGAGAGAAAAACAGAAAACCTTTTTTATATCTCTTGAAAAACTCTGCTTTAACCAGTTTGATGTGGCTGAGAGGAGCTTTTAGGTGGAGATTTATTTTCCAGACTGAATGTTACTTCCTTACTTGGCATTTATTTTCCTGTGTTTTCTGCTAGATTGGTATCTATTTTATGTTGTCCATATAATATGTTCCAAATTTTGACTTGTTTTGATGGGCCTTGGACATCCGTGCCGGAGAATACCTTGAATAATTTGGTACCCGCTTCCTAGCTTCTAAAGCTGTGATAAGGTAGAAGATATATCTGCATGGATTTTATTGGTTTTTTTGACTGGGACTTGGAAACTCTGTTTCGGGCTTATGTGAAATTTGGGAGGAGCACCTATAGGAACCATGCAGGTAACTGAAACAACATTTTCCTGATGCTTTCTTCTGCCACGAACCTACACATACACACCGTATATGTACATGTGTGATGTGGGTTTTTTGGGTTCAATATCATTAAATCATTTAACTTCTCTCGTAAACTGAGCTTTCTTGAGGGTTAGACAACAGCAAGACAAGGTTTCACTCCTACCTCAGTCTCTTCCTTCATTGCTCTTCACTCATTTTAAAGACTTTGTGCATGATCTTCCAATAAATTCCTTACTGGGTAAGTAAAACTGGAAGATTTCCCTAAACCTGTTAACGAGGATCCAGCTGTGGAATGAAAACATAAATCAGGTTTTCTCCTCCAGTTTAGTCTTGCCCTTGCAGCTAACCCTGCCAATACCCTTGTGTTTCCTGTGCAATGTGAGTGTTTGTTTACTATCTCAATAAAATAGAAACCAAATCCCACCTCGTTCCTTCTACCCTGATTTTCTCAGTCCTGCCTTTGCTGCTTCTGTCAGCTTCTCAGCTTAATGTTTGATTTCACTTCAGACTTTAACTTAGTTCTTCCTCCCGTGCTCCTTTGTTCCTTACTTTTCATTCTCTTACTCTTTTCTCCAGTCTTTGGTGGATGAGGCATATTTTCACGTCAAAGGAGAGAGCAAACTTGGAGGCAAAGCAAAATGCTTTTCCACCCTTGCAGTGCTTTTCTCACTGACTTTTGAAGGCTTTTTCTTGCTCCATGCTCTTAAAATTGGCGTCACATGGATGGATTGGTGCAGTGAAGGAGAAAGAAGAGATCAACCCTCAACTGTGCACTCCAAAAATCACTTTTAAGTTATTATATCTAACATAATCACGCTATTTATGATATATATAAGCTATAGTATAGATGAGAGTTGATGGCTGTGATACCAACTCTTAAGTATTCCTTATAGAAAGGATTCCTTGTCTTATAGAAAAACCTCTTTCTGTTATACTTAAATGGAGTTACCTTCCTGATCTACTTGATCTATGGCATTTCTGAATTTTGCAGAGGGATGTGGGTATCAAAATACAAATGTGAGCATCACATCTTCTCTTCTGAACTGCTGGGAATGGGTGTTTGGGTAATGGGATCCTACTGATGCCATGGTGGGGGATAAGTGAGAAATTATTCTTATTTCTGAAATGTTAAGTCTACCTCTCCTATGGGCTGAGAGGGTGTTAATGCAGTTAGGTCCCTATAGCCATGTCGAGCTCAATCTCTTTCACTAAGAATAATAACAGTAATAAAATGAAAGAATTCCCTGAATGGGCCAAGTATTGGTGATTTTCCTTCACTGATTTATGAAACTAAATAAAATGGCATCAGATGTCAAAATAACACCATATAGTACTTTATGCTGCAGTAACTTTTAATGCTACTGTAGTACTTGATGCTGCAGTAGATAGCAATAGATTGTAAATCACAGTTTTATTGTGTTTTACTGTTACTGTGCTAAGAAATATTTCCCAGGCAAAGATATTGAAAACTGAGAATCTTAGTGCCTGGTGTATATAGATCAGAGTTGCATCTGTGGTTCTTGCACCCTGAGTTGTAGGTGTCGAGGAGCCTGGTGCTTAAAAGAATAAATAATTAAAACTTCTTAATGATAATTTTTTTTAAAAAAATAAGACTTGCAAGGCCACCCCAGAGCTGAGCTTTTTATTCTTAAGTTTTCCCTTTTTAATATTACCAGCAGACCAATGAGAGTGTTCAAATTGTGGCACTGATTTCAGGTGGGTGATTTTGAAGTGCAAGATAGTTCGATGTTTCTGAAACCCAAAGCCAGGTGAGGGATGGTGGTGGTTGCTGTTGTTGGTTTTTATGTATTTTTTAAATAGGCATTTCATTGCCTACCTGCTGCGGTTGCTTTCTTCAGTATGGGTGAGAGGGAATGATGTGTAACTTTCAACTTTGAATTCTATTTATTTTTTTAAGAGTAGTGGACTGTTCCAAGGCATAGTTGTCTCAGTGAATGCCATTTTCCAGGATTGGTGTTTTTAAGGATTTGAGGAGAACCGTTGGCCATTTCTGGAGTGAGACTGGGGCACGGACACGTCTTGTCTGTGGTTACAACTGTCACCTGTTCCTTAACAAGCTCTGGTAACTTCATGTTCTGCATTAGGAATGTGAAATTTGGCAGGTGGTCCTTGTGCCAGAGCTCTGCTGCTGATAATCTGCCTAAATTTGACCAAGTTATAAATCTCTGGGGAAAGAGGAGCAGTCTGCCTCCATCAGCACAGCACCTACGTGTCTGTGGTGATGGAATATTCCCATTTTTGCTGCTCCCAGTGCCAACTGGGCTCTTTGCATCCTCCCCTGCCCAGGGACCCTGGGATGTGTAGGGACGAGCTGGAGCTTGTGGTTGTGCTGCTCCCAGCTCCTGTGGGATGGGAATGGGCTCTCGGTGATGCTCCTGTTGCTGCTTGGTTGAAGGATCCAATGAGGATAGGATCATTTAGGTTGGAAAAGAGCTTCAAGATCATCGAGTCCAGCCGGTGACCCAGCGCTGCCAAGTCCACCACTAAACCATGTCCCTCAGTGCAAGCGTATGGGAACAGGAACGTAACCTGACAACCATTAGGAGAAGTTGGCTGGCTGCGCTGTAGATTTTGTCACGTTTAATTTACCATCTTAAGGAACGTGAAAGTCCCGACAACTTTCTGTGTTTTTATTCAGACCTAGGTGCTGAAGGAATTTTGTTCTTTTATTTTCAGATATTGAAAAATATCACGTGGTATGCTGAGCGCGTCTTAACAGAGATCTCACTGGGGAGTCTTCTGATCCTGGTTGTGATAAGAACCATCCAGTACAACATGACACGGACAAGGGTAAGAGTTACTGCGTGTAGCACTCACAGACATCGTGTGGATTTCAAATTTCAACAGCATGACTTCACTTTCAAACAGGTTAAATAGGTTGTCTGCCTCTTAAATTACTCAGAAGTGGGAATTTCAGCCCTATTTATGGTTAGTGTTTTTATGAAGCAGGACAGTGTCACTGGGCCATAAAATCTTTTGAGTTCTAGCAAAGCAAAACTACTTCAACATCACAGCCTCATATCAGGCTCGTATTGGTTTGGGGTATTTTTAAAGCATTTGATTCTATTCCTTTTCTCAGACACGTAGGCGTGTTATCATACACTTTTGAGTATTTTCAACAGAATCCCAGGATGTCAGGAGTTGGAAGTGCCCTGAAAAGCTCCCCCAGTGCAACCCCTGCCAGAGCAGGATCACCAGAGCAGTCACACAGGAACACGGCCAGGGCTTTGGGGGTCTCCACACAAGGACACTCCACAACCTCTCTGGGCAGCCTGGGCCATGCTCCAGAACCCTCACACTCACAAACTTTGGCCTCATCTTCAGCTTGAACCTCCTGTGCTCCAGCTTGAGACCATTGCCCCTTGTGCTGGCCTTGGCCAGCCCAGAGCAGAGCCTGGCTCCTTCCTCCTGACACTGCCCTTTCCAAATGGAGACCCAGGAATGAGGGCACCCCTCAGGCTCCTCTGCTCCAAGCTCAAGAGCCCCAGCTCCCTCAGCCGCTCCTCAGCAGGAGATGCTCCACTCCACTCCCTCCAGCATCTTTAACAACTTTAACAGTTAAAGGCACAGAAGATTTTATATTAAAGGTAGCAAAAAAAACCCCTTAAATATATTTTAAATTGGGAAATGTAAGAATTTCACTTGTTTGATCAAAAGAATTAGAAGAAACGAGAACAGCCTTGGTACATAGTCGTAGGATTTGTGTCGCAGTTTGAACCAGCCCAGCCCTAAACCATGACAATTTGAAATCTGTTCAGGTGTAAACGCACATTTTAGACTTGAATAGGAAAAATAAATCCGTATTGGATTCCATAAGTGCACAGGTTTGGTACTGTGAAAACCCTTGACTTCGATAGTGCCATCATTTAGATGCTTAACTGGTCAGATGGTTTCAAGGGGACCGGAACTGTGAATTATCGTATTGTTATAGGTGTGGGATATATATGTATACATACACATGTACATGTACATACACGTATATGTATACATACACATACACATATATAAATATACACATATACATATACACATACATATACAAACGCATATATGAATATATATATATATATATTTACACACACACATATATGCATTTCTGCTATATGCTTTTGATCGTGCCCTTTAAAGCAGCATATATTACTCAGTCTATAGGATGACTCTTGCTGTAGGTGTTGGTGTGTATCACAAACACAGTTTGATGTATTTTTTTCTTCTTTCTGACAGGACAAATACCTTCATACAAATTGTCTGGCAGCCTTAGCAAACATGTCAGCGCAGTTCCGCTCACTTCATCAGTATGCTGCTCAGAGGATCATCAGGTAAATATAAAACATCAGCAACACGGCTTCTTGAAACTCATCTTTGCTGAAACTCGGTAGTAGAGGAACTTGAATTTTATGTACTTTAATAGGTACTGATGAACTAAATATGAATGGCTGAATTGACAACTGATATTACTAAATAATCCCAGCATAAATCTTAATTGCTTTATACTTGAATCTGTTCTGAATGTGCAAAAAAGTATTAGTTTCTCTGTCTGAGAAACTTCTGACTTTTGGTTCTCTTAACAGAGCAGCTCAGTAGCTGCTTTCAAACCGGAAGGTTTTCAGGGATTTGTGTGAATTTTGCTTTTTTTTTAGTCATGTATCGCGTTATTGTAAAAATGCTCTGAGTGGTGGTTCTCAAGTACCGTTCAGACTGGGTTTTCAACTTGCTTTACTTCTTCCTTGGTGAAAGGACTATTTGTTAAATCAGAAGTAACACAGTGATAGTTTTTTGATGGGGCTCTCCAAATATAGGCAATAAAACCTACACTCATGCTTTTCAACTGATAAAATTTATTAGCCTCTATAGTAAAAATAGAATATCTGATCTGGTTCTTAAACAGGGCCGTAACTTGAAAGAAGTAGATGTTGAAGTTGGTCCTTCCTAGTTTGTGCTGCAGACCTCAAGTACAGATAGCGGGCCAGAAATAAGTACATGATAATTGCATGCCTGTACCCTTCATAAAGCACTTGGTTAACAAGAGAGAAGTCTGGTGCTTAAAGCACTACTCTTTAGGGTTTAATTCTCTCCGAGTTCCTTCTCTTTTGGAAATGGTTGGTTGTAAAAGTATGGACAAGTAACCAGGATTAATGCCTTGTGCCCTTGCCTTTCCCTGCTTGATACTCGCCCTGTTTTCATACCCTTGTCAGTGACAGTGAGTGTTGAGGATCTGAATTGAAGCTCTTTTCCTGTTACATATCACAGACACGGTACTAAATACCTGTTCTCTTCATTTTTCAAGTCACAGACGTGGAGTCTGAGTGCTCCAAGGATTTGCAGATGTTGGCCTCTGAAATCACAGATCCTAGCGTGGTGTGAGACACGCTACCTTGATGCTCAGAAACTTGGTTTGGTCTTAGTGTGCTAATTCGTTTGCCACTTCAGAGCTTTTTCCCATGTTCCCCATTTCTGATTTTGTTCCATTTTATTCTAGTGCTGTTTCCACAGTCCAATGCAAGTTGTGTTTCTCTGATTATATTAGGGCCAGGAAGATGTTATCTTGCTAGTCCCGTTACAGCCAGCAGTTATCTCCACTCAGTAGTCTTGTAGTCATTTAGCATAACAGCACATGTATTTCTGTGCAGCTTGGCTTTTGTTGAAGTGCTCTGAGTGTACGGACATCTACTGTCCAAAATTTAAACTTCAGAGGAAGCTCAGCTGGATTATTTTGGTTTAATTGGGTTATGAAATAACTAAGCACATGGACTGCTGGCTTATCAGAAGAGGTGGCAGTTGTTAGTAGAGAAGGAGCAACCTCAGTGCCTTTGCACGTAAGTCTTGCCTCAACTTTACAACTCAGAAACTTAAAAGGAGCCTTTATGTGCTGTGAGGTTCCTCCCTACACCAGCCTTTTCACGTAGTTTTCACCTCCTGTAGTGGCATCTCTGGGGCAGATTGATCTCTGAGCCTGATGTTCAAGACTCAACACCCAAGGAAGGATGCACACCACCCAAATATTCTCTTGCGCTCCATGTATGCAGCATTTCAACAACTGTGACATTTGGGTGCTGTCATCTCTTTAGACAAAGGGACTTACAATGAGACTTTAACATTGCTGCTTGGTTTTAGTTGTAAATTAATCGCTAGGAAGCAGTAGGGGTGAACAGCAGAAAATAGGGCCAAAAAAAAAAAAAATCTGTCGCATAGAAATTGACTTTCAAATTATTTATGTTTTATTGTGTGAAGAGCTAACAAAGCCACAGTTGAAATGTGCCAAATAGAGCAGACACATAGCACTGGCATACTTAAAAACTGCGAGTTCTTCCAAAGATGTCAGCTCTCGGTAGCTACTGTTGGTTGGTTTCTGTTGGTTTTAGCAGTGAGACTTCACAGAATCACAGAATCACAGAATCCCAGAATCCCAGACCGTTAGGGATTGGAAGGGACCCCAAAAGCTCATCCAGTCCAATCCCCCTGCCGGAGCAGGAACACCCAGATGAGGTTACACAGGAAGGCGTCCAGGCGGGTTTTGAATGTCTGCAGAGAAGGAGACTCCACAACCTCTCTGGGCAGCCTGGGCCAGTGCTCTGGCACCCTCACTGAGAAGAAGTGGGGTCTGAGCTGGGCAATAGTACAAATAACAAAACAATATCCTGGTAAGATAAGTCTGAGAAGGGTGTTGGTTATCCCAACTGTTGGGAGCTGGCAGGGTTGGGGCTGTATTTTTATGGTTGGAAATAATGTAAGGATAGGTATAGAAAATGGCCATCCACATCAACTGAAGGAAACCCAACAAAATGACAATTTTATATATATGTTGTCTATAATATGATATTCTTCCATATCCAAAGATATTCTTTGCTGTTATTTTTAAGCTCCTGCCTTCTTGTAGCCAGATGCTCCATATTAGTGTAGTATGGAAATTGTAATGAAGGAGGTGAGTTTAAATTTAAAACAGAACCAGAAAAACAAGAGAAGAATTAGGGAGTCTGTTTGATGTTCCACACATCCCACACACCGCCCACCCTGCCCTCAGTTTTTACATGTAATGTTGACTGAAGAGAGTATTTTTCAGGTAGAAAACCGTACTTCTGGACAATAGTTAAAATTGAACGCAAAGATTGGGACATAATTTGTTGCTATGATCAAGATTGCCTATAAATCAGAAGAAGCTACTATAAAAATGAATTAAAATCTGTTGTAAAATGTCCCATGGGGCCAGAACATGTTTCCCATGAGACTTTCCTGGATACGGTAGCAGTTTCTTCTCAAGAGCTTTACAACCTTGGATTCCCTGGCAGGAAGGATTTTAACCTGATTTCCTCTCAAAATACACAGATTTTAGTTACAAGGTTTCAGTTGTCAAGAAAAGCGGTAGGAGTACATGTACTTCGTAAGAGATTGATGTTTTGAGGCAGACACTGGCCTTCCTTTTCCTGCCTTATGAAATCTCCTAACCACCGTTATTCAATTTATCCGGCACTGATGCCAAAGCAGAACATTTATATTGGAATTCCTGTTCAGGTTCTAGCATCAGAGTGCAAGTATCTCTGAGAGAAGAAACCACGGTATCTGTATTGAAAAATTGTTTTCTGTGAAGGAAAAGCCTAAAAAGACAACGTACTTTATATTGCATAAAGTATTTTAAGGTATGGGTTTTTAAATTAAGTAGCTGGGAAACACTTAACTTAAAATCTGCTTAGCAGTACAACTGAGTAGACGCTCATAATTTAAGCCTCACCAGATGCTCTAATGATTCCTTCCTTAATGTGAGAAGTAATTCCATTTCCACGCAGGCTTTTTCCTAATCCTATTCAGAGCAGAGACTGCCAATTGTTTTAAATTCTGAAGGCTATTTTCTATGAAGGAATTAGCTGAGAATATTCAATGTAGTGTACTTAAGAGCTCGGTAAAATACAACTTCATAACGTTGGGTAATTTGTGTCACGTTCCAGCAAGCGTGAAAATCGGCAGATTTGTATAAATCTACCACAAACAGCTGCTGGAAGTAAAAATAGATATTTTATAATGAAGTCCAGAGAAGTATTCATTTAATGTTGGATGTCCTCTATTGTAGGGTAGAGTGCCCTGACTTTAAGATCCTTCCCTTCTCTATCT